TTGGCTCAGCCAAGAAGATCCTTGGTATGCAGATTTTAAGAAATAAAGATAAAGACATGTTATTTTTGCATCAACATGATTATATGGTAAAACTTCTAAAAAGATTTAACATGTTTGACTGTAAACCTGTTATTTTACCTCTTTCAATCATTTTAAACTTCCATCTGAATGTTGTCCTAAAACTGATGAAGAGTTTGATAGAATGTCTAAAATTCCATATGCAAATGTTATTGGATTTGTCATGTATCTAATGGTAAGTACAAGACCTGACCTTTCTCATAGTATTAGTATACTTAGTAGATTTATGAGTAATCCATGTGAAGACACTGGAGTGCTTTAAAATGGCTTTTAAAATACTTGAAAGGTACTTTAAATTTAGGTCTTGTGTTTAAAATGGACAAAAGAGGAATTACGTTAAAGGGGTTTACTGATTCTGATTTTGCTGGGATAGATACAACAAAAAATCTACTTCTGCTTATTTTTTTACTCTATGCGATACTACTATAAGTTGGAAATCACAATTACAAATAGTTGTTGCTCTATCCTCAATTGAAGCAGAATACATTGCTGCTTCTGATGTTTTTAAAGAAGGGATTTAGCTAAGTAGATTGTTAAATGAACTTGGCTTTGTTGATGAAAATGCAATCATGTATTGTGATAATCAAAGTGCCATACATTTAAGTAAAAATCTCATGTTTCGTGATAGGACTAAGCATATAGACATTAAGTATCATTTCATCAGAGATATTATATCGAAAAGGAATTATGAAAATTGGTAAAATTTCTACTTGGATTAATCCCTCAGATATGGGAACTAAGATAATACTTTTAAACAAGTTTCTTAACTGTTTGAAGTTGTTATCTATTGATACGATGTGATATCATACAGGTACTTAGAGTAAATGAAAAATAATTGGTGATGTTTGCTCTTGGCTGCACTTGTTAACCCAATTTCTGGTAGCAATGTGGAGATCATTGAGACTTGAACCTGTAATCTATGATGTGCTCCCAAAATTGGCTTAAAATCTTGTTTCTGCTGGATGCATTTTTCTTAATAGTGCACTTATTATAAGATGGTGACACGTGGGTGATTTCTGGCCCTTGGATTGTTGCCTTGGTGATGTGTGATATAAATACTGCATAGTGGAAGATATTTTTCATTCGTTCTGCCTTTTTAGTTATTCGTTCCTTCTGGGTTTTTCTGAGAGTCCATTTTCTATAGATTAGGGTTTGAGTCATTTGTGTTCTTCATCTCTCATGATGAACTTGTAATACTGAGATCAAACTTGCCGATTAGCCTCTGTAATCTATTATTTTGAGCGATTGCTGTGAGATTAAGGTTTTCTTGTAATCGCGGTTTCAGTTGGCTGTTTGTGGGGTTTCTTTGTGATTCCTTTTAGATCTACAGTTTTGTGGAAAGAGATAAGTGTCTTGTGCCTTTCTCTTGTATTTGAAAGAACTATTTATAACTTGTTGCCATTTTGAGTTTATTAGTGCAATCCAGCGAATATCCATTATTTGGATGCTCAACGCGGGATGTAGGCGTTAGATTTGGTCGCCGAACCTCCGGGGCTTAGGCCGAAACAATTCTTTGTGTTCAACCTTTACTTTTCTGCAAAGTTTATTCTCTGACTTGTTAGAATCTTATTTTAATATCGTGTGTTGGGCTTTTACACGTATAAGTTCAATCTCGGAAAATGAGGACAAAAATTCTTAGAATTTCCATTGTCAAATGTGGTGAATTCCTTTTGCTAGTTCTGAGTTCCCCGACTGCCGTCTATGTTCTTTTGGCATCAGAAACTTGAGGAGGTATGAACAGAATTAGCATTACCCGCTTTTAAATTTTTGTTTCACTTTAACATCTTTTTCTTCCTTGGAGAAACTTTCATGATCCACTTTACACTACAACAAAAATGACCTTTTGCAAGTAAAAGGCAACATTTATTAATTGAGTGTTGTTAAAGGGGTTTATCACAACATTTTAATAAGTGTATGTTGCCATTGGTTTACATAATTGAGATTTGACAACATTTTGTAGATGCATGTTACTAATGTCTTGTAGGCAACGTTCAAAACCTATTGCCAAAACAAAATAATACATCCTCATTAGCTGTTGCGGAAAAGCAATTTAGGTTCTCTGCTTCTTGTTAAAATTTGTTTCAAAAATCTTTATTAGCATCGTCCATTGCCTATTACTGAAACAAAATAACATAGGACTCATTCGTCTGTTGCAAAAAGAACTTAAAGAACCATTTTCATTTCTTTAGCCCACTTTAATAACTCAGCACATACACCTTATTTCTTGGGAAAAATTCATAAATAATGTGTATTCTTTACACCAATTCAAAAATAAAGTTTATAATTTGAAACTTCAAAAATCAGGTTTTTTTTTTTTTTT